AGAGTAGAGAGGCAGAACCTCCTCCCTCGACCTGCTGGCCACGCTTCATGGCCATGCATGTTTTTACAGAATTTAGTCTGGATTCAATATCCAGGCAGGTTAAGCCAGCTGGTTGACCTGGGAAAGGCACCATTCCCTTCGGCCGTGAATGAAGAGGTTTGTCATGGCTGAACAAGAGGCCTGTCTGCAATCACTGCTCCTTTCAGTGGTCTCCTGCTGTCAGGAAAATGGCCGTTTAGTCGCTCTTTCTGAGAGTTTCCAAGTTAAATCTGAAATACATACAGTGCCTGTCAATTTTCTTCCCCTAGGAGGCTTAGATTAAAGAAATCTGGCAGAGCAAATTTAGGCATGGAGTTCCCTGCCCCTTTCACAGCACATCCAGGCGCTCCGACCGGATGGGAAACGGGTGATTTCACAACCTGACCCAAATTGTCCTGCTAGCTCATTAAAGCTAATACACCGAGTCCATTTCTATTCGTGTCCAGAAAGGCTTAGTAAAAAACACAGTTACGTTTACATGAGGATCCCAAATAATGCCTAGATCAACATACTTTTTCTTCCTTAAGGTTTTTCTTCTTTAAAAATAATCCACAAACTCTCCGACCATGTGGTAAATTATGCAGTAATTGCATATGTGCAATTAAGAGCAAGTGAAGATTCCACAGAAGACCTGCACACTTGAAGCACCAGCTGAACTTTGAAGTGACAAAACCAGCCCAATTCCTGAGTGGGAAGCTCCTGTACAAGGAGACATTAATGCAGTCTAATGGAAACAATCCTCTTACAGATAAAAGAGATGCAATCGAGCATGTAATTTACTTATGAAAGTTTAAGGGTGTGTTTTGGAATAGTCACCATAGCCTTCCAAAATCCAAGAGTCCACAGGAACATATTCTAGTTCCAGATTCTGAGAGATGGGTACATGTATTTACTTAAATAAAACGGGTATTTGATTTTCAAGGCCACCCACTATTTGGTTTTTGCAACAGCCATGGTACCTGTAAGCTGTTTGACAGATCGTTCTGTTTACACCAAGGCAAACAGGAGCATGGGGTGTCTACCTGCAGCATCACGAGAAGATTTCTAATCATCAGTAGAATCACCAGAAGAAAATTCAGCAGTAGCAGCACGAGTGGAAAGGTGCTTCTCTTCATGGAATATTTTATTACACAATGCTTTCTCCTGACATCCAGCTCACTCATGAACACACTGAGCAGAAGCAACGCCAGAATAAAATCCCGTCGGATCCCAGTCTGTGCCTCTCACTTTAATAACTGGATGGCTACCGCTTAGCACGGTGTTTCGGCCAGTTCTACAGCTCTACAACTGTCATTTAAATAGATCCCATTTCATAGACTCATAGAATCATGGAATGGTTTGGGTTGGAAGGGACCTCAAAGATCATCTAGTTCCAGCCCCCCTGCCATGGGCAGGGACACCCTCCACTACACCAGGTTGCTCAAAGCCTCATCCAACCTGGCCTTGAACACTTCCAGGGATGGGGCATCCACAACTTCTCTGGGCAACCTGTTCCAGTGCTTCACCACCCTCTGAGTGAAAAATTTCTTCCTTATATCCAATCTAAATCTCCCCTCTTTCAGTTTGAAGCCATTGCCCCTTGTCCTGTCACTACATGCCCTTGTAAAAAGTCCCTCTCCAGCTTTCCTGTCGGCTCCCTTTACGTACTGGAAGGCTGCAATAAGATCACCCCGGAGCCTTCTCTTCTCCAGGCTGAACAATTTCCCGGAATTGTTTGCAGCAGCTGCACACCAGGACAGCACAAAAACCTTCCTACACCTTAAATTACATTCCCTGTTGTTCGCTTATGCACCAAGCCAGTCACACTAATGAAGGAAATTAACTAATACACTATATAACTAATCAATTAATATATAACCAATTAATTAATATATAACTAATTAATATTATTAGTCTCAGTTTGATATGGTTTGTCCCTGACAAATACAGACTAAGTTTTGTTCTGTTTTATTACTGTAGAGCAGGGAGGAGATTCCAAGAAACTCTCTCCACTAACTTTAGGCGCTTCACTGTACTTTCTGCTGCCTCTCCTGGCACAACAAGAGAAGCTTGATAAAAAAACTTGGCATTCTGTCCTTGTGCCCCAAAAGAAAGGTGAAGTCACACATATTTATAAGATCAGGGCTAACGGAACAATGGGATCAGAATTCAGCTTCTGCCCTTTTGTTGCTCAGATTTTTTTCTAAAAAAGTTTTAAAACATTAAAATGTTAAAAGAAGTTTTAAAACATTAAAATCTAAGTCAAAACTAATTAAAATCTAAATTAAAACTTGTTTAAAGTTTTAAAACACTAAAATCTAATAACCTGAAATGTCAACAAGAAATAGAACAATATTCAGCAGTGCTGTGAGACAGCAAAAATATCCCTTCAATCAATGGGATATCGATTGTTCCATTATCTTCTTTCAGGTGTGCTGTGATAAACTCCATGGAATTTCTGTACATACTTTAATTTCCTTTTTTTTTTATCTATGCAAATCTTTCCTGGATTTTTAGATTAACCTTTGTGTCAATAGGTAAATAATGATCTGTAAGATTAGTTATACTACCTTTATCTAAAATGCCAAGTAAAAAATACATTTGCAATAGATATTTTACTGGCTGAAAAATATGAAACTCTACCCACCACACAAGGTTAATTAAGGAGAAAATACACTATCAGGAAGGACACAAACTGGAGAAACCATCGCTTTGTTTATGTATATGTTTAGGGAAAACGAGGTAAGCAAATTATTCAAAATTCAGTTGAAATTTTCAGTCTGCACAAACATTTCCTGTACGTCAGAGCGTTTGGTGCGTGAGGAACGCTGTCTGTCGTTGCAAGGACTCACGTGGTCCTCACAGTTCTAGGGGGTCTTAACTAAACTGGAAGACAGCCCAGTACCAAGAAAAGAAAACCAGCTAAATAAAAAAACCTCCCTCTTCGTGGCACGCTACTCTTTCAGTAACGAAAACCAGCAACAGACAGAGTATACACAGAATCTACTGGAGAAATTACACTAATAATGGAGTTAATTAATTGTATACTTAGACACCTAAAATCATTCTCAGGGTGCAACTATAGTACAAACCAACATGCTGTGGAAGAGACTACAGGCTCTTACTTCAACGTACTCTTCTTCGTTACCTCCCAGGTGCCCTTCCTTAACTTTAATGGAAACAAATTTACATCAATTAATAACAGCACTTTGAGTGCTCCCATTAGAAAATATCTAAGCTGATAATTACCTGTTGATGTTTAATTCCACAGAGTGCTAACATGTCTTTGCATGCATTGCTTTCACCTGTTCAGCCTGGCTGGCTGGTTATGGCATTAACTCCTCAATTTAATTGGAACATCATTATTAAAACATCATTTTACCTGCTCGCAGCAATTTTGCTTTCATTACGTGTTTTCTTCCAGGCATGAAACATTCCTTCTTCACTAACTTTTTGAGTTGGCTAAAGTAAGGAGAACAGTTTTGTTTAAATTATCAGAAATGTGTCTCAGAACGAGCACAAGGATCACAAAACGAAACAAGAGGCCCAATTTATTTGGCCAAAGCAGTCCACCTTTGTTGCGCTACGCTTATTCCCAGATGACTTCAAATCCAGCTGCCATTCTGCAGCCAGCACCGAGCCCCACACCTTGGGGTGTCCCGGAGAAGCGTGCCCAGAGCCAGTGTGGCCCCACTGGGCAATCTGCTGCCTCAGCGTGGCTCCTCTCCAGTAGCCCAGTGGCCACCCCGTCCACAGTGGAGTGCAGCTGGGTGAGATGGCAGAGGCTGTTGCCCCATGGGGCTGGGGCACCTGAGCCTGCTGGC